TTTAAACATATTTCTTCAAATGATTTTCTCACTTAAAGTTTTCTTTTCGTTTCCTATCACGATCAGCAGTCAATCTTGCTGAAGCCTCTATCTTTTTTGAGAGTTTGGTTTTTCTATTTCCAAAATGGTGCACGAGGATGTGTTGGACAAAACTGTTGCTGCTTATTCTACCATATGCTACAGATACTGTATTTTAATCCCTTTGGCTTTCATCTGGCTAGCTTGAATTATTCATGTTGATTTGTGATATTGTATACAAGGAAAGAAAGTCACAACAAAATTATGTGGTACCTATATTGTGGTGTGTTTAAACATGAAATTCAGCTTTGAATTGAAAGGCATTTGCTTTTTTGGTTTCCTTTAGTGATTTTCTTTCTTTCCTGCCTGTCCTTTTCTTTTTTGTACTAATCCAATATTTCTATCTTCATGCAGCTGTAGTTGTCCTTGCATCTTGACTTAATAGTTATCAGGAGCGACTAAAGCTCAAAAGGATGGGCAATTAATTAGAAAAACACTGCAGGGACTTTTCCATTATTTTTTTTATCTTCCTTTCAAATATACGTATCTGTAGTATTTTATTAAACATTTTAAGTTAATTGTAGAACATAGAAACTGCATTTTGGAGTCTTCATTGACTTTATCATTGAAAAGATAGTATTGAAAGAACCAAAAGCCAAGCAATTGTAGGAGTACTGCAGCAACTGCAATTTTGCTACTATAATGAGGATTCAGCTTTCAAATCCAATCCCATTTTTAACACTTTTTTCTACCAATCTCCCCATATTTTGAACAATTTTTCACTTGTTTCTTTCATGAATTCAACAGAGGACTTCATCTCATTATTTGATATAGTCAAAATCTTATTTTCATATCTCTTTTCGAAATCTTTGTGCAACATATATACTTGTTTCTCTGTGTCTACTTTGGGGATCGGTGGAATGTTTCTTTCAAAATATTTTTGGATGTGAAGCACATTGTGCTTCCTGCAAGCTTTTGCTTATTCATGTTTCCTGTAGGGCATAATTGGCATGGAAACTGATTATGGAACTCTTCACATAAAGGTAATTTTGCTTGCTTTTGGTTATAGTGGAAGCTTTTTATGTTTACTGATCTCACACATCTGTCCTAATGGTTTTCATTTTATATAGAATCAGCTTCATGGAGACGTTTTAAACTACGTTGTAGATTATGAGTTATTACATATAGTACTGTAGATCGTTGTGTTGTACTGAATGCACACAGTGGCTGAGAAACTTATTTGAGGGTTGAAAATTGTAGCCGAAGTGGGGTTTGAACTTTTATTGAAATTCTTGCAAAGCATTTAAAGTGTAGGTGAGATTTTTCAGAGTGTTGCAGTGTAAGAATTTTATGGAAACTGTGGACAGTTTGTAGAAGCAATTTTCAGAATTACATTTCTTTGTTCTGTAGTTTTGTTAAAATGTAATGTGAGCTGTTATAATTCTTTGTTTTGGAATTGTATTGAAACAAAACTTAAGATGTTAATATAGCTTTTTTCCCTGGGATTCCATGATAGTTTAAATCAGATATCTTTCTCTATGTCTTATTCCCCTGCTTAGAGTTTTTTAAGGCGTCCATGGGTCTTCTTTAATGCTAAAATTCAGATTTGCTCAAGTCTTCCATGCAAGTGTCTCATATTCTAGCTTATGCTTCTGGAGCCGTTCCGGCATATTTTTATAAATCCCGCACTGTGATACCATGTGTTAGGAACACTGACTTAAGAAAACCATAAGACTGCTGTAATATTCACTGAATTTCTGCCGCAATCATCATTTTTCTTCTATTTTCTTCCTGCACATGGTTAATATGTTGTAACCTTTTCTAGTGTGAGACTTCCTCTTTGACTTCTTATCCTTTCTTTGTCTTTAATACAATATTCTTTCTTGCAGCTTTTGCCTGAATGTTCACCGCATTCAGTTCTCTACATCTTCGAGTTGTTATCGTTGAAACACTGTGCAGGCTGCGAGCTTTATCGTGCTGAAACTCGGGGTCAGTCTTGGGATTCACATGGAAACCACATAAAAGATGTAAGGGCCGCAATTTTTTTTATTTGTTTTTGATAGTTGCATCATCTCCTCTCATGTTCTATCGCTTATGAGTGCAAATGCACTAAGTCTTGATGGTCTCTTCCAATAGGGTTCAGGCTTATGTGTTGCTGTCAGCGTATATATATCAGTCTAAGACACTCTTTGGGAATCTGTATGAATGGACACTTAATTGGTTATGTCGATGTCCTTTTTGATATTCCCCTTGTTTGAGCAATTTATCAATATTATTTTATGTATATATTTGAGTGTGTGCATATGTGTGTGTTTTATATGATAACTCTGCGTATGAACGCATGCAGGCACATGGGTTGTTTATCTCATCATTTTATCGTATACAAGAATCTTGTGATCTTCTATTATTTTCTACTCAAGTTTCTGCCCTGCTTCTGAATGCTTTTCTAACTTTCCAGGCTTCCTTTGGTCCTCCATTCGCACTGATTCAAGGAACTCTTAATGCCCAAGGAACGGCTTTTGAGAAGCTGCCGGGTGAATTCTGTCCAACAGTAAGACGGGGATCTGTGGCATGGGTTGGTTCTGGCCCTGAATTCTTTATAAGCCTAGCAAACCATGTGGAGTGGAAAAAATCCTATACTGTATTTGGGTATGTACTCCCCGAGGACATGGAAATTGCTGAGAAAATTGCTCAGCTTCCCACAAAATCTGATGTCTGGAACAATATTAAGGTGGCAGTCTTGGAGAAGCCTGTATCTTTGTTGATACGAAGAATGAAGAACAGTCAAGAGGACCTAAACCAGAGCGCTAAGTAGGACAGGGCTTTTGTTGGCTTTATCGGGCAACTTTGTAAATCAAATTATAGGTTTGTCTCCAAAATTTCCAGTTTCTTTTACTTGTATACCGTTTTTTATATACTCAATCTAGCATACAGTTTACAGAACACAAAAGATGTATAACATGGCATTTTGAGGCCTCAAGTATGAGTACTCTGGAAAACTTTGGCTGTGGTTATGCCATTTCGGACTCAAGGGTGCATGAGTTAATTAAAAAAGTTGCTCGAGCACCTTTGACGCACGCATGTAACAATTTCAGATGGTTTGTTTGATGGAGGGTCTGACTCTGACATCATGCAATAACAAGTTGGACTACATCTTGCTGCCAGATGCGAATCAAGTTCTGTGGTTATTCTAGTCATGTCTCATTGATCGGTTAATTTCTTGATAAGTATTTCCAATTGTTAGGAGGGACTGCTCCTGTCCAGTGGGAAAGGGTTCAAGAATTCTACATTTAACTTCAATTATGGTCTTTCCGTTTGTTGTTACTCGTATCGCTAGGGATGATTTCATGAGATGCAGATGCAGATGCAGATCAATAAGAGGTTTACGTGAACTAATCCTCTGTGTTGTTGGTGACAGATAGCCAAGAAACCTAGAGGAAGTCCAGTGAAATAGTTAGGAATCTCGGGGTGGTTTGTGAAATTATCCCATTAGACTGGTAATCTACTGTCAGATCCCATACTTAGGGTCTATTTGATAATATAAAAAAAATGCTTAAACTGAATTTTTTCAAGCATTCAGATATTTTGAATGTTTGATGAATGAAAATCTATCTACTAAACTTGTTAAGCAGTGCTGAATTTATGTGTATTTTTTTCAGCACAAGAATCCTAACTGAATGCTGAATTCTGATAAGAATCAATAAAATTACTTTAACTACCTTATCTTATCTACCAAATCTATCGAGCAAGATAGCCGCAATTATCAAAAACCTCAAGGGATGTTTATAAAAATTATCCCAAACAGAATTGCACCATGTAGAATTGCAAGTCCTTTACGGAAAGAACGTAAAATGGTGCAAGACAAGGGGTGTACAATAGTAGTATTGATATAATAACTTAGGGGAGTCTGGCTATGCTATGCATAGGCGCTGCTCGCCATAATTTGATCTAAATTTTGCTTATTAAATACATCGCCATGTAATTAATGAGATATGATCATGTAAGTTAAGTCAATGACAATCAAAGATTTAACTAATAGAGAGATTATCAAGTTTACTGTATTATATGCAGAATAGCCAAGTAGTTTAATGGTGTAAATGTTGCTTATCAACTAATTTTTTCCCCCTTCCAATCGTGCTAATTTGCTGGTAAGAAAATAGGTATTGTATTATTTATTAATTGGAAGAATTAATATTATGTTAGTGTCCTGCATTTATAAATGTTTCAAAAATCTCAATAATGACTGAGTGATAAATAAAACTCAACTGTATAACAAATTTAACTTACCAATATTGAAATGATTGAAGTGCAGCACTTTGAGAAAATTACATTGAATAAAAATATGATTTTTGCTATTCATGTTCCATAGTCCACAACCAAATTCAAGATTCATTTACAACCTCTGAACAAATGTCAATTTGTTCCCTAAGTAAATACCAAATATAATTAGGGAAAGCTTAGAAGTCAGATGGAATATTTTCTTCACATCCTATGCTCATAGCCTCCTGGATTCCATTACTCATCATCCTGTCTCCACCTCTATCTATGCATTAAGAAATTTTAATTGCATTATTTAATGTACTTCCTTTTTCCATAAAATCTCATTCCCAATAGGACTAGCAATTCCTAATAGGACTTCACAATTACAATTGTCCCTCAGGTTGATATACAATCAGCGCACTTAAAAGGATATATATATAAAATTTTGCTTGTGCTTACTGCTTATGATTAAGATTCTTTGTGTCCATACTATAAGAAGAAAATGCCCTGGTTTGATAAAAAAAAACTGGTTAAAAATTCACAATGATGCCAAACAGCCTTATGGGCTGCAGGTTAAAAGAAGATCCCTTCATCAAAATTCTAGTTCTGATCCCTAACAGGGTGTTTGTATTTTTGCTCCAAGAAACCTTATATAAGGAAGCCCAATTTAATCTTAGTATCACACACAATTCTTTCTTTGACAATAGCTACTCCTTTCTTTCCTAAGCCATAATGTTTCAATTTTTCGTTAATACCTTCTCCAATACTGCTAGCATCTCTGCTAATCTAAATGATCAACACGCTCGTCTATTTTTGTCTTCTGCAATTTGTGGGCTTACCTTAATATGGTTTGCATTAATGTTTACCAAGAAATCAAACAAGAAACAGCCACCATTGCCACCAGGACCTAAACCATTGCCTCTAGTGGGAAATCTCTTGTCCGTTGATCCTGAACTTCCCGCATACTTCACAAACTTGTCCAGAACCTATGGTCCAATCATGACTTTTTGGCTTGGCAAAAAGGCAGGAATTGTCATTAGCACTACCAGATTGGTGAGGGAAGTGCTAAAGGATCAAGACACCACATTTGCCAACCGGGATGTGCCCGCGGCCGCCAGGGAAATCGCTTACGGTGGCTCAGACATTGTCTGGACACCATATGGACCGGAGTGGAGGATGCTGAGGAAGGTTTGCGTTCGTGAAATGCTGAGTTGTGCTACTTTAGACACCGTTTACGCCCTCAGGCGCAATGAACTTCGACAGATGATCAAGTACATTCACAGCCAAGCTGGAAAACAAGTAAATGTGGGTGAGCAACTTTTTCTGAGTGTGTTAAACGTGATTACTAACATGTTGTGGGGTGGTACAGTGAAAGGAGATGAGAGGGCCGGTGTTGGAGCCGAGTTCAGGAAAGTGATTACTGAGATCACTGGATTTCTGGGAATGCCTAATCTGTCAGATTTTTATCCTGGTTTGGCTAGATTTGATCTGCAAGGTATCCAGAAAAAGAGCAAGGTTTTGGCTCAGAGGTTTGATGCAATATTTGAGAAGATGATAGCGCAAAGGCGACTCAATGATAATGGGAGCGAAAGCAAGGACTTTTTGCAGTTCTTGCTGCAGCTGAAAGGTCAAGGAGATGCCAGGACGCCTCTTACAATGACTCACATTAAAGCTTTACTCATGGTAATATCTGCCATTTAAAGATACTCTGGCCCCTGATCGACATGAGAAGGGGGACAAAACGATGTGGACTTCTGGCCTTGTTTTTGGAAAAGGAGAAGTATGACATTCAGTCTATTAACAATTATCTACATCTTTATATTTCATAGATCAAGTACGTGATATGGTATTTGGTCATGACATTTTTCTATTTGTAAGCTTATCCTGTATATTTTACTCTCAAGTTTCAATTCATACCAGCATTTTCAGTTTTGTTGCATAAATGGTAAAATTAGTAGACTGAGTTCTATCTTTTAAACATATTTCTTCAAATGATTTTCTCACTTAAAGTTTTCTTTTCGTTTCCTATCACGATCAGCAGTCAATCTTGCTGAAGCCTCTATCTTTTTTGAGAGTTCGGTTTTTCTATTTCCAAAATGGTGCACGAGGATGTGTTGGACAAAACTGTTGCTGCTTATTCTACCATATGCTACAGATACTGTATTTTAATCCCTTTGGCTTTTATCTGGCTAGCTTGAATTATTCATGTTGATTTGTGATCTTGTATACAAGGAAAGAAAGTCACAACAAAATTATGTGGTACCTATATTGTGGTGTGTTTAAACATGAAATTCAGCTTTGAATTGAAAGGCATTTGCTTTTTTGGTTTCCTTTAGTGATTTTCTTTCTTTCCTGCCTGTCCTTTTCTTTTTTGTACTAATCCAATATTTCTATCTTCATGCAGCTGTAGTTGTCCTTGCATCTTGAATTAATAGTTTTCAGGAGCGACTAAAGCTCAAAAGGATGGGCAATTAATTAGAAAAACACTGCAGGGACTTTTCCATTATTTTTTTATCTTCCTTTCAAATATACGTATCTGTAGTATTTTATTAAACATTTTAAGTTAATTGTAGAACATAGAAACTGCATTTTGGAGTCTTCATTGACTTTATCATTGAAAAGATAGTATTGAAAGAACCAAAAGCCAAGCAATTGCAGGAGTACTGCAGCAACTGCAATTTTGCTACTATAATGAGGATTCAGCTTTCAAATCCAATCCCATTTTTAACACTTTTTTCTACCAATCTCCCCATATTTTGAACAATTTTTCACTTGTTTCTTTCATGAATTCAACAGAGGACTTCATCTCATTATTTGATATAGTCAAAATCTTATTTTCATATCTCTTTTCGAAATCTTTGTGCAACATATATACTTGTTTCTCTGTGTCTACTTTGGGGATCGGTGGAATGTTTCTTTCAAAATATTTTTGGATGTGAAGTACATTGTGCTTCCTGCAAGCTTTTGCTTATTTGTGTTTCCTGTAGGGCATAATTGGCATGGAAACTGATTATGGAACTCTTCACATAAAGGTAATTTTGCTTGCTTTTGGTTAAAGTGGAAGCTTTTTATGTTTACTGATCTCACACAGCTGTCCTAATGGTTTCATTTTATATAGAATCAGCTTCATGGAGACGTTTTAAACTACATTGTAGATTATGAGTTATTACATATGGTACTGTAGATCGTTGTGTTGTACTGAATCCACAGAGTGGTTGAGAAACTTATTTGAGGGTTGAAAATTGTAGCCAAAGTGGGGTTTGAACTTTTATTGAAATTCTTGCAAAGCATTTAAAGTGTAGGTGAGATTTTTCAGAGTGTTGCAGTGTAAGAATTTTATGGAAACTGTGGACAGTCTGTAGAAGCAATTTTCAGAATTACATTTCTTTGTTCTGTAGTTTTGTTAAAATGTAATGTGAGCTGTTATAATTCTTTGTTTTGGAATTGTATTGAAACAAAACTTGAGATGTTAATATAGCTTTTTGCCCTGGGATTCCATGATAGTTTAAATTAGATATCTTTCTCTATGTCTTATTCCCCTGCTTAGAGTTTTTTAAGGCGTCCATGGGTCTTCTTTAATGCTAAAATTCAGATTTGCTCAAGTCTTCCATGCAAGTGTCTCATATTCTAGCTTATGCTTCTGGAGCCATTCCGGCATATTTTTATAAATCCCACACTGTGATACCACGTGTTAGGAACACTGACTTAAGAAAACCATAAGACTGCTGTAATATTCACTGAATTTCTGCCACAATCATCATTTTTCTTCTATTTTCTTCCTGCACATGGTTAATATGTTGTAACCTTTTGTAGTGTGAGACTTCCTCTTTGACTTCTTATCCTTTCTTTGTCTTTAATACAATATTCTTTCTTGCAGCTTTTGCCTGAATGTTCACCGCATTCAGTTCTCTACATCTTAGAGTTGTTATCGTTGAAACACTGTGCAGGCTGCGAGCTTTATCGTGCTGAAACTCGGGGTCAGTCTTGGGATTCACATGGAAACCACATAAAAGATGTAAGGGCTGCAATTTTTTTTATTTGTTTTTGATAGTTGCATCATCTCCTCTCATGTTCTATCGCCTATGAGTGCAAATGCACTAAGTCTTGATGGTCTCTTCCAATAGGGTTCAGGCTTATGTGTTGCTATCAGAGTATATATATCAGTCTAAGACACTCTTTGGGAATCTGTATGAATGGACACTTAATTGGTTATGTCGATGTCCTTTTTGATATTCCCCTTGTTTGAGCAATTTATCAATATTATTTTATGTATATATTTGAGTGTGTGCATATGTGTGTGTTTTATATGATAACTCTGCGTATGAACGCATGCAGGCACATGGGATGTTTATCTCATCATTTATCGTATACAAGAATCTTGTGATCTTCTATTATTTTCTACTCAAGTTTCTGCCCTGCTTCTGAATGCTTTTCTAACTTTCCAGGCTTCCTTTGGTCCTCCATTCGCACTGATTCAAGGAACTCTTAATGCCCAAGGAACGGCTTTTGAGAAGCTGCCGGGTGAATTCTGTCCAACAGTAAGACGGGGATCTGTGGCATGGGTTGGTTCTGGCCCTGAATTCTTTATAAGCCTAGCAAACCATGTGGAGTGGAAAAAATCCTATACTGTATTTGGATATGTACTCCCCGAGGACATGGAAATTGCTGAGAAAATTGCTCAGCTTCCCACAAAATCTGATGTGTGGAACAATATTAAGGTGGCAGTCTTGGAGAAGCCTGTATCTTTGTTGATACGAAGAATGAAGAACAGTGAAGAGGACCTAAACCAGAGCGCTAAGTAGGACAGGGCTTTTGTTGGCTTTATCGGGCAACTTTGTAAATCAAATTATAGGTTTGTCTCCAAAATTTCCAGTTTCTTTTACTTGTATACCGTTTTTTATATACTCAATCGAGCATACAGTTTACAGAACACAAAAGATGTATAACATGGCATTTTGAGGCCTCAAGTATGAGTACTCTGGAAAACTTTGGCTGTGGTTATGCCATTTCGGACTCAAGGGTGCATGAGTTAATTAAAAAAGTTGCTCGAGCACCTTTGACGCTCTCATGTAACAATTTCAGATGGTTTGTTTGATGGAGGGTCTGACTCTGACATTATGCAATAACAAGTTGGACTACATCTTGCTGCTAGATGCGAATCAAGTTCTGTGGTTATTCTAGTCATGTCTAATTGATCGGTTAATTTCTTGATAAGTATTTCCAATTGTTAGGAGGGACTGCTCCTGCACAGTGGGAAAGGGTTCAAGAATTCTACATTTAACTTCAATTATGGTCTTTTCGTTTGTTGTTACTCGTATTGCTAGGTTTACGTGAACTAATCCTCTGTGTTGTTGGTGACAGATAGCCAAGAAACCTAGAGGAAGTCCAGTGAAATAGTTAGAAATCTCGGGGTGGTTTGTGAAATTATCCCATTAGACTAGTAATCTACTGTCAGATCCCATACTTAAGGTCTATTTGATAACATAAAAAAATGCTGAAACTGAATTTTTTCAAATATTCAGATGTGTTGGGTGTTTGATAAATGAAAATCTATCTGCTGAACTTGTTAAGCAGTGCTGAACTTATGTGTATTTTTTTTAGCACAAGAATCATAACTGAATGCTGAATTCTGATCAGAATCAATACGCCATTTAATTAATGAGATAAGATCATGTAAGTTAAGTCAATGACAATCAAAGATTTAACTAATAGAGAGATTATCAAGTTTACTGTATTATATGCAGAAAGGCCAAGTAGTTTAATAGTGTAAATGTTGCTTATCAACTAATTTTTTTCCCCTTCCAATCGTGTTAATTTGCTGGTAAGAAAATAGGTATTGTATTATTTATTAATTGGAAGTATTAATATTATGCTAGTGTCCTGCATTCATAAATGTTCCAAAAATCTCAATAATGACTGAGTGATAAATAAAACTCAACTTAAATAACAAATTTAACTTACCAATATTGAAATGATTGAAGTGCAGCACTTTGAGAAAATTACATTGAATAAAAATATGATTTTTGCTATTCATGTTCCATAGTCCACAACCAAATTCAAGATTCATTTACAACCTCTGAACAAATGTCAATTTGTTCCCTAAGTAAATACCAAATATAATTAGGGAAAGCTTAGAAGTCAGATGGAATATTTTCTTCACATCCTATGCTCATAGCCTCCTGAATTCCATTACTCATCATCCTGTCTCCACCTCTATCTATGCATTGAGAAATTTTAATTGCATTATTTAATGTACTTCCTTTTTCCATAAAATCTCATTCCTAATAGGACTAGCACATTCAAATGAGTATGCTGCCACATATCAAGGACTTCACAATTACAATTGTCCCTCAGGTTGATATACAATCAGGGCACTCAAAAGGATATATATATAAAATTTTGCTTGTGCTTACTGCTTATGATTAAGATTCTTTGTGTCCATACTATAAGAAGAAAATGCCCTGGTTTGATACAAAAAACTGGTTAAAAATTCACAATGATGCCAAACAGCCTTATGGCCTGCAGGTTAAAAGAAGATCCCTCCATCAAAATTCTAGCTCTGATCCTGAACAGGGTGTTTGTATTTTTGCTCGAAGAAACCTTATATAAGGAAGCCCAATTTAATCTTAGTATCACACACAATTCTTTCTTTGACAATAGCTACTCTTTCTTTCCTAAGCCATAATGTTTCAATTTTTCGTTAATACCTTCTCCAATACTGCTAGCATCTCTGCTAATCTAAATGATCAACACGCTCGTCTATTTTTGTCTTCTGCAATTTGTGGGCTTACCTTAATATGGTTTGCTTCTATGTTTATCAAGAAATCAAACAAGAAACAGCCACCATTGCCACCAGGACCTAAACCATTGCCTCTAGTGGGAAATCTCTTGTCCCTTGATCCTGAACTTCCCACATACTTCACAAACTTGTCAAGAACCCATGGTCCAATCATGACTTTTTGGCTTGGCAAAAAGGCCGGAATTGTCATTAGCACTCCCAGATTGGTGAGGGAAGTGCTAAAGGATCAAGACACCACATTTGCCAACCGGGATGTGCCCGCGGCCGCCAGGGAAATCGCTTACGGTGGCTCAGACATTGTCTGGACACCATATGGACCGGAGTGGAGGATGCCGAGGAAGGTTTGCGTTCGTGAAATGTTGAGTTGTGCTACTTTGGACGCCGTTTACGCCCTCAGGCGCAATGAACTTCGACAGATGATCAAGTACATTCACAGCCAAGCTGGAAAACAAGTAAATGTGGGTGAGCAACTTTTTCTGAGTGTGTTAAACGTGATTACTAACATGTTGTGGGGTGGTACAGTGAAAGGAGATGAGAGGGCCGGTGTTGGAGCTGAGTTCAGGAAAGTGATTACTGAGATCACTGGATTTCTGGGAATGCCTAATCTGTCAGATTTTTATCCTGGTTTGGCTAGATTTGATCTGCAAGGTATCCAGAAAAAGAGCAAGGTTTTGGCTCAGAGGTTTGATGCAATATTTGAGAAGATGATAGAGCAAAGACGACTCAATGATATTCGGAGCGAAAGTAAGGACTTTTTGCAGTTCTTGCTGCAGCTGAAAGGTCAAGGAGATGCCAGGACGCCTCTTACAATGACTCACATCAAAGCTTTACTCATGGTAATATCTGCCATTTCCATGTTATGCATAGATATCATTTTGGTCATAATTATGCCCAAAATCACAGAATTTTTTTTCAAAAGATACAATAGCTAGTCTGTCAGAATTAAGAATAACTTAGAACTCAATTTTATTATTGCAAGGATGACATAAACGAATCTAACCACTTTTGTTAGTAGCTTAATTAGCCTCTGTTGGTGAAGGACCTATCCAAAACTGAATTTGTTAAGTACTATTCAAGGATGAAATATACATAAGCCAATACTACTTAATTAACAAAAGGTAATAATTAATTTCCAACTCCTCAAATAAATAATTGCTGTGCTTACTTTTTATTTATTTATTTTATGGTTTGTATGCATGATTGTCAGCAGGATATGGTGGTGGGAGGGAGTGACACGACCTCGAACACGGTCGAATTCGCAATGGCTGAGATGATGAACAAACCAGAAGTTCTGAGAAAAGTTCAAGAAGAAGTTGACAGAGTGGTAGGCAAAAACAGGGTGGTTGAAGAGTCTGATATCCCAAACCTCCCATACTTGTATGCAGTAATGAAAGAACAACTGCGTTTGCATCCAGCCCTTCCACTTCTGGGGCCTCATTGCCCCAGCGAGACGTGCATCGTTGGAGGCTACACAATCCCAAAAGGTGCTCGAGTTTTCATCAATGTCTGGGCTATTCATAGGGATCCTAATATATGGGAAAACCCTTCTGATTTTCGGCCCGAAAGATTTATCGATAGCAAGTGGGATTATAGCGGAAATGATTTTAATTATTTCCCATTTGGATCTGGACGAAGAATTTGTGCAGGAACAGCTATGGCTGAGAGGATGTTCATGTTTTCACTTGCTTCCTTGGTCCATTCTTTTGACTGGAAAACTGCTGATGGAGACAACATAGACCTGGCTGAGAAGTTTGGAATTGTATTAAAGAAGAAAACGCCTTTGGTCGCTATTCCAACCCCAAGATTGTCTGATGCATCTCTATATGCCTGACATGACTAAAACCAAAAGCTAGAAAGAAGTCGAGGGTATGATGCCCCTAGAATATTTGAATTTAAAGATGCACTAGTTTTTGAAAGAAATTGCTGAAGTGTTTCGAATCTATGTTATAAAAATTTAGGAAAAGATGAAAGAAAGATTGGGGAGATGTTTTTTTCTGCCGACTGTTACCTGTATTATTATCATCTCCCCGTATACTTCCAATCGCCAGCTTAGGATACTACATATCTATCGTTTGAAGATGCCATCATAAGAAAACAACAAAACTTCTGACCAGAAAAATGTAAATTCAGGAAAAGACGGAGATGGGATCCTCTGCATATGTTATTTATCCGGAACAAGACAAATGGATCCTGTTCTATTCTTCACCAGATAAGCCTGTCTTGTTTAAGGACTAGCATAAATTAGTAATCTATATGTAGTCGTGCTCAGCATGCAATTTTGATTTTTTTTTTTTTTTTGGGAAATTTGAGTTTCTTGATGTCGACATAGATACAAATTTCATGCCAAAATATTGAAGGGATTAGATTAGGGAGAGGAAAATAAGTAGAAAATATTAAGAGGTGATTGATTATAAGTGAAAAGATTTCGTAGCTTCACCTTTCTCCTTCGATCCATTGGGAGCAACCATCCAAAAAAACAGGATGAAGATATCTGATTAGGTAATCGAATCCTCTAAAGCATATCATGCTTTTCTATCTTCTTCATTTTTTTTTTTCCAGCTTACATGGAATAGGGTAAAGATTTATAAAAGAAAAAGAGCAGAGTTATTAGTTCTTGAGAGAATTCTCAAGTACTACAAAAACAATTGCTATGACATAGGTGAAACAGAAAAAACTTGCTACGACAACAAAATGGCGAAACTTGTGGTGTATTTGTATTTGCTTCAGCAAAACTTGCAGGATATTTTAGTGAATCATGGGTCGAACCAACACAAGTTGAAGATGGAGCTGACGGTGTGTTGGTGAGGCTGTGAATGCAATTGGCTTCTTTCGGAGTGGCATATGAATTTCGGGAAACAGATTTGACCATAAATAAGGGAAAGGATGTCAATAAGACAATGAAGAAGAGATGGGGACAGAATGACAGAGAAGAACTTCCACTGATCAACACAATATGGCACCATAGCTCATGGCAGTGGCAAGAGTGCAAACGATTCTAATCAAATCAAATACTCTAATGTTTAAACTTGTTTTGATTATTTTAACGAGTTTAAAATTTTATTTAAATTTGATTTGTTTATTTGCCAACCTAAGGTTGAACAAAAACTTTTTATCGAATTTAAAAACTATCGAATATAAAGTGTTGTTCAAACTTGACTCGATTAGTTAGCTAACCAAGTTGGAACGAGCTCTTACCGGAGCGAGTATGATTCAAGTATTAAGTAGTTTGGTTCATCTTTCAATTCTCGAATAATCTTAAACGGGACATGAGTGTATTAGCACGAGCATTTCTTTTTGTTCATGACCAATGTTTCTATGCTAATGATGTAAAGATTTTATTGCAGTAACAAGTTTAGCTACATAACATATAATTTTTATTCAAATTTTAAGGTTTTAAAGTCAAGTTTACAAGCCAGTCAACTTCAACTCACCTTACGTGTAACTCGAGCTAATAATAATCCTGTGGAAGGCTTTGGATGGGTTTTTAATTTGAAAGGAGAATGCATTATATATATATGCCAAGCTATCCCAAAATGATCAAATAGCAAGCACGAAATCAAAATTATACAGGAAAAAAAGATAAATTATTCTTCATATATACATTGACGTGTATAAAAATTAATCCTACATATATACACTTTTATAAACTGTTAGATCTGAATTTTTAGGGATCTAAACAAGTCTAATTAATTTGATGAGATTGAAATTGTATTTAATTTTAACTTATTTATTTATCGAGATGAACTTAAACAAGTTTTTATCGAGTCGAGTTTCAGTAACTTGACTTTTTACTTATAAATTAAAAATTTCATGCTTATCAAAGTCAAGCTTACACAAAATTTAAAACTATGCTAAATATAACATGTTATTCATATTTGGTTTGATTAATTGACAAATCAATCTTGAACAAGCTCTTTAATAGTAAGGTTATCCTTTTAATACTACAAAATTTTTTTGTAGTGCAAATGGGTAACATGAAATTCCAAGACGCCCTTGCAAAACGACGGGGTTCATGGCAAGGGACTGAACCGGAGCCAAAAGTAAAACCCTCAACCGGGTTTTACCCATCTATGCCCCATCAATAACTACAGCACTGCGATCCCTACTCCCAACCACCCCAGCCCCACCCCTCCCCATGCCCTAGTCCCCCAACCATACCCAACCACCCCACGCCCCCAACTCCCCAACCGGCAATCATGTGCCCCATCCCCCTTCCTTCTTCACGCGAGTGATGCCTTCTGTCCTTGGGTTCATAAAGCTTCTTCAGTTGAGTTAATTGGAGGTTTGATCAATCATATTCAGTATTTATAGATAAATTGTTTGGATGATCCATTTGAGTCTCCTGCATTGTATGCTCAAGGTTTAGCCTTTTGATCCTCAAAACTAGAGTCTTTAGTCTATTTTTATTAAATAGGACTTGGGTTCCTTACAAAATTGAAACTTTATTCATTTTGCCTACTAAAGCTGGAACTTTTAAGAAGCTTTGCAGTTAATGACTTGCATTATTTTGTTGGATATTCAATTTTCTGATTTTAATTTTATTCAACTCAATTAGATGGGAACTTCACTTGTAGTTGCAAATTATTAGGACCCCTTCTCATGTTCTTGCTGTTATAGGCTCTGAATACAGTAGTTTTGCCAAAAACTTAAGCTTTTTCTTTATTGAATTAAGAAGGCTCTTGTTAGTTTTGGATTCGTTGTGAAAATGAAGATAGGCGGCTTCTTTCAGATCCCTGGAGAACTTGGGGGGAAGTAGAGTGTGATGAGCAGCTTGTTTCATGCATATTTTTCGGCGTTGTTACCAAAGGCTTGCCAGGTTGTTGTGAGGAGTGCAGTTTGTGGATTTTCGTCGCCCTCATGGAAAAGAAGCTTTCAGTATGTAGGTATTAGAGCTGCTAATTTGGAACATTTGTTGACGCGAATTCGCTGCCAGTGCTATTCATCTAAGAGTTCTACAACTAAAAAGAAGAAGTCTGAAAAGAAATCGGCGATGAAGGAAGATAGGGAGGCGTTCTTTGTAGTGAGGAAAGGGGATGTTGTTGGTGTCTACAAGAGTTTGAGTGATTGTCAGGCTCAAGTTGGATCCTCGGTATTTAATCTGATTCCCTGTACTTTTTATAATTTTGTTGATTGATATAAGCTCTTTTGTGGATTTCAGTCTGTTATGCTTCTACATAGGTCTCTTTACTAGTGAATCAATGGTTAAGCCACTCATCTTTCCGATGCATGGGATATCATGCTATAGGTGGATGTACAATATTGTTAGCTTTTGAATTTAAACTGAATAATATGTGTCCAGGAATTCCCTTGGATAAGGCTTTTAACATATTAGTCATTTCTCAAGCATGTCTCTAGTTTTTAGTTCCTTTTGCTGCATGTGGATGTGTATACACCTGCTCATGCGCATGTCGGTGCACTCGTGTACTTTGTCAGTGTTTTACTTTAGAAGCATTTAACTCATTCTGCAACTGGCCTGATCAACTGCGGGGTAGAATCAGCAACTGTTGTTTCTGCATGTTGAGGAAGTGCAAGAGTTATCTTTTATTCCTATTGCTGCCAGCAGAATGTGGTTTTTTTTTTTCTTGTATGATGAAGATGAATTTGCTTGATAAGATGGGAAGTCCGCATCTGACCTATGCTTGGGTGAGTCTTAACTCATGTATGTAGTAGCAGTTATTTGCTTCCTGTTGGTTATATAGAAATAGAAGCATAGATGGTTGGACATTTTCATCTATTTCTGAAAAATTGTTTTCACTTTCTTAAATAGTCAATGGGATCTTCCTGTCCTATTGTACCTTCTTCGTCGTCTAAAGTACCATCTTGCATGTGTTCATGTTGAATAAGGAGCTACTGTTATGTTTGGTGATTGGATGAAATCATTATGTTTTTATCTTTGGTAACTATGCCTTTTCTTCTTCACAGTACCTAAACTACTTTTAGGTTCGAGGTGTATGTAGTGTGAGAGAGCGAGGGTATAGGAAGATAACAAAAAGAGTGGAATTTGTTTCCTGAAGCTTTTTCTTGATTTAATGCTCAATTCTGCAGTAGCGTTCTTGTTGGACGTTATGTTGGTGTATGTCAGGATATTGTTTGAAGTATATAATTAGGATTTCTGCTTTTAGCATGGCTTTTCTTAGGTGAAAAGATGTGCATTATTAGCTTGGATGCACTTTCGTAGCAAGATCACTGCTCTATAGCAAACATAAGACTTTAGTAATTTTTTCATCCTGGTATGGAACTTTTAGAAATTTATGAAGGATGATTGAAATGATCTTCCCCATTCATTTTCTTGTAGATATGTGATCCTCCTGTAAGTGTATATAAAGGTCATGCTATGCCCAAGGATGCAGAGAAATACCTTCAATCTTGTGGCCTTAAAAATGCTCTTTATTCTTTTAAAGCTGAAGATTTTACTGAAGGACTTTTTGGCCCTCTTTCACCATGCCACTCTTATCAGGTGAGATATGATATCATGCTCTTTGTAAACTTTGTGATGTGTTTTCTTCTTCTCTGTCTTAGATGTTCTAGTTACTAAATTCTATCAATTATGAAAATGGTGATTCCAGTGTCATTCAAAAAACTTTAAAGTGAATTATCACATTTCATTTCCTAGATGCAGCTGCTGGGCGGCGATAATATGGTGACATGAGGTTTTTGGTTGTTAGGAAGGCAACTTTTTTCATTTCAATTTGATTGAAGAACGTATTTCAAAATAAAAAAAGATAGACAACTTTTATATGTGAACTTTTGGAAACATGAAGTTGAAAACAAGAAACAAAAGCAATTGCAAGGCCCACTTTAGTTGGTTATCTTATACAGTCCATATACATGTAAGGTTCCTCTTTATCAGTAAAACTATTGAATTGGGGAAACAAGCAATTATTAGGAATATTTGGAGCTTGACTTGTAAGATTTTGACTCTCTTTTCTTTTTATCTTGATGTATTGTGAAGATAGTAACTAAAAATTTTCCTTTGTAGGACTAATAGTCCATGAGTTTGTAACATTGAGCTTAACCTTTTCCCAATTAAAGGTTCATGCACATTAGCTGGAGAATAGCTAATGGTTTGGATTGCTATGTTAGTGCAGGGATATTGTTGAATTGTCCT